CACTGGCACCTGCATATTGTGTTAAATAAGCATGGGTTTTAACATCACAAACGGATGTGGGTAAAGAATTAAATTCATAAAATTAAAATTGAGATAGGAACTTAGAATATAAATTTTCTTACGGACAACTTAATTGAATTAATAGATATTATTATTCATTAATAGAATTGGAGATAAAATTATAGCAATAAATATTGTTGCTATTGTTAAGATTATTAGTATTATAAATATTTATGTTCATCAAGTTTAGATATGTCTTTTAAATTAAAATTTTGGAATGACATAAAAAAATTTATATAAAAATTATTTCATGAAGAAAGTTTTTATTTGAGGAGATTAAAATGAAGATATTGGTAGAGAAGTAAAATATTTTAAAAGCATTTATCATGGTTTTGAATTTGGAGCGATTAATGAAGGTTGTAGGATCATATTAAAATTTTCTCCAACTTATGATTTTAAGGTCTCGATTCCTTGATGAGAAAAATGAACGGTTATGTTAAGTAGTTGTCAGGCAGCCTAAAATTTATTGAATAATCATGCCATGATTTTTTTAATACATTGTGTTAAGGCTTGGACGTTCTTTGGAAGCGACATATTGTATGGCCTAAATATAATGAGAAGTGTGTAATGACAGTTGCATTGGCGCCCGGGCATGGTGTTAAATCATCAAGGGTTGTCACATCATTATTGGATGTGGATAAAGGCTTTGTTTGAGATTGTTTTTTTATTGCTTTTAAAGTAGGTTTTTAGTAAAAAAACGAACAAGAAAATTTGTACTAAAAAAATATTTTAGATATATGTACGAAAGTCGTCCCAAACGAAGCCAAAGAAGTTAGTCCATGAAAAATAGAACTAGTATAGGAATTTATAAAATAGTTCTTTTATATGCAAATTAATGAAATTAATAGATATTATAATTCATACGAAGATAAATATTATATACATTTAGGAAATAAAATGGGTTGGAGAGAAGGCTAAGAAGATTAATAGTTTAGTGTTTAAACTATGATATTCAAGTATGAGTTATATTAGAAGTGGCATAGATGTGACTATAGATAAGAGTTTAAAGAATAATGTGATAGAAATTAATAGAATTAAAGATAAAATTATAGCTTCAAAGATTATTGTTAATGCTAAAATTATTAATATCATAAGTTCTTATGCTACTCAAGTAGGGTTGAATGTGTTTAATTAAACTTTTGACATGACTTAGAAAAATTAATATAAAATATATCTCTAGGAGAAAGTTTATTTTTTTGTGGAGATTTTAATAGTCATGTTGGTAGAGGTAAATTTTTTTAAAAACATTCATAGTGGTTATGAGTTTGGACTGACTAATTAAGGTAATATAATTATATTAGATTTTTCTCTAGTTTGGAGCGACATGTTATTGTAATGTAGAGCTTAGTAATAGGAAAGTAGGCCCAACCAGATATGTTGGATTGGTATGATGCAAATATAAGCATAGTGCTTATAATATCAAATTTGAAGAGATGATTTATCATGAGGGGTTTTTAATAGTATATGTTTTACTTACTCTTTTAAGATTCTCATAAGATAACAGACTTTGGGAGTTCATAGTGATATTGAGTTTGGAATATTTAATCAATCCTTCTTCACGCTTGATTGAGCAGTTACTGATGCATATGTTCTGAATAGCATCAATATAAAAGAATCATTATGAAATATATTGTATTTACATTCCATCAATTAAAAATAATTTATCCAAATAATATTTCATTTAATTTTTTTAATTTTAAATTAAGTGATTGAATCCCCACCAAAGCTTATTTTTATTGAGTAGGATAATTGTTGTAGTTGAAATAGGCAATACTAATATTTGCAAGTAAACATTCTTCCTCATGGGATTAATATACTACTATATCATTATATTACTTGATCTGATGCATATGCTTGCGTATATCAAGTGGGGTCTTTATAATTTTTATATCAAAGAAAATCTAAATATTATTTAGGGATTGATAGAGTCCTAAATCATTTTCATAATTCTTTAGGTTACTCCACTACCTCCATCAAGACCCATAACTATACTCGGACAATAGAGACTTGATTTTTCACTGAAATTACTTTTTTAGAACAAAATGAAGTATTATTCGTAAAGATAGGTATTATATCTAAAAAAAATTCAACAACAAAAACAAGCATTTGTCCCACTACGTGGGGTTGGCTACATGAATCCTTTTTCGCCATTGTGTCATGTTAAAAGTCAAATTCTCATTTAAATCTAATAAAGAAATATCATTTCTAATATTTTATAACCAAGTCTTTTTAGGTCTACCTTTATCTTTCTTAACATAAGTCAAATCTAAAACCTCAACTTTCCTAACCGAGTCACCGGAAGGCCACCGTTTAATCTAACCAATCCATCTAAGGCGGCTCTCTCTAATCTTATCTTCCACTGGAGCTACTCCAATCTTTTCACGTATATGCTTATTTCATATCCTATCTCTGAGGGTAAAGCCACTCATCCACCTAAGCATCCTCATCTCTGCAACAATCAACAATTAACTTAGTATTATGGTTTTCTTTTAATGGCGAACATTTGGCACCATAAAACATTTTAGTTCTCACAACCATCTTATAAAATTTCCCCTTAAGTTTGAGGGGGACTTTTCTATTGCACAACAAGCCTGATGCATTCCTTCACTTCAACCATCCAACTTGAATTCTATTGATAATATCCCCATCTATTTCACCATCACTCTGAACAATAGATCCAACATATCTAAAAAAAATCAACATTGAAAAAAAAAAATTACGAGCAAAATTTTGTCAAAGTCTTCTGATATTCTTAGTTGCCGAAAAAAAATCTCAAAAAGATTGAAAATCTTTTTAGTTGTTTAATTTGCAACCAAACTTAATACTAGTGTGTTTAACATAAAGATTTTGGAAATATCTACAAAGTGTAAGGGTTGAAAAATCATTAGAGCATTCATTTAGTAGTATATAAAACGGTTAGAGCATCTATCTCCAGAGAAAGATTAGCTTTAGTAATGTTGTATTAAATTTTAGCATTTGATGCTCAAAACTTCATTTTGGATGGAATATTAACCTTTTTTTCTGTTTAAGAGGTGATCTCTTTGTTAATGCCATCCATTTGAAAGAGTTGATTCAATAGTGAGGAGCTTTAGGTTGACCTTTATGTGAAATAAATTAATCACAGTGCATATGACAGAAGCATTGAAAATCAGTGAAGAATTAATGCATATTATTAATGGCTTCTTTTGTTTTTTGGTTACTATGCATTGCCTTTTGCCTGTTCTTGGTAGAATTTTAGGTACTATTTTCTTGGAGGTGGGCTTATTGTTTTGATGTTGTTTAAAAATGTTATTGACTATGTTGAAAACATCTATTATTGCAGTTTTAGCTGATGTTTGTGATCACAATCATTGGTGCCATTTTCATGTTTAGTGGTTTTGTGGCAATATTTCATTGAGACCCCTATGACTGCTCACATGTAGGCCAACTATATATTCATTTGCTTAAATAATACATTTATAAATCTTGGACAAGCAAGTGGTTTTTTCTCCAATGTCTTTCATTAAAAAAATTCAGGCGGTGCGTGGGCAGGTGGGGCAGCTTCGCGGGCAGGCAGGGCAGCCGCAGGCGGTGCGTGGGCAGGCGAGGTAGCTTCGCGGGCAGGTGGGGTAGCGCGGACAGTTCAAGTTAAACGGGTTCGTTGGTTGACCCGGCAATCCGCTGGGTCAACCCGAACCCGACCCGTTTTTCAAACGGGTCGAATCCGGGAACCCGAACCCGACCCGTTTTGAAATCGGGTCAGGTCCAACCCGGATTTTTCGGGTTGGGTTTTCGTGTCGTGTCAAATATTGACACCCTTAGCCTCAAATATCCATGACAATGGAAGTATCAATATTTTCATGAATGGTTGTTGACCACCAATGGTGTAAAAGAGAACTAGATGTGTCTTATTATATGATTTCTCATAAAGAAAAATTGTATAAGAACATCATTCAAGTCATAAAACCTCTAGATGGTTGTCATTCAACAATTGGAGAGGGGAGAAGAGACCAAAATGGTGCAAATAGAATGAAAACCTCAATTTCATTCACTTGTTTTCATAGGGGTTGTTGTTAGCCTTAACTAAAATTTAATATATTTAAAATTGAAATTGACAATTTGAGGGAAGGCGACATTTTTGCATGTCGCATGATGCTCGTTTGATGGATCTTTTTAATTTGAATTTTCCTTAGGAAAGGGAGGAGGAGCTGATCACTTGATTTTGAGCATAAAATCACCATTGGAACACATCTATAATGGCATCTTTTTAGCTTTTGCATGGCACCCCTTTTTTTTGATTTTGCATCAAAAGTTGGTCATATAAATGTATGTGATATGAGATGAATAGATTTTCATCATATATATATATTTTTTTTGAGAAATTAGGGGCAATGATCAAACACACACACAACGCATACGCGAGACTCGATCTTAGAACTTTTTAGTTGAAATTAAAGTAAATTATAAAAATTTAAATTCAAAATTGAAATTTAAAATATTAAAAATTTTCCTTAATGTAAAACTTATTGTTCTCTTCCACTTCATGAACTCTACCTTTTAGAATAATTTTGAACAACATGAAAGTATTATAGTAGGGTTTTTTTTTTATACTAGCATTTTTATGGGCATGATTAAATGGTTATGTGGAGGAATTAATAATAGTGGTCAACCATTAGCCATGGAAGAGGGTAAGAATGATGAAAAGAAATTGAAAAAGCCTTGAAGTAAGGTATTAAAGAAAAAATTTATAAAGACTTGGAGCTCTAATCAAAGCATTTAAAAGATTTCTTAAATAATTTTTGAAAATTTTGAATTCAATTTTACGTATTTTTGGATTTGAAAAAATGTAAAAAAATTTGTTTAATCCCGGACGTGCGAGATCACACGGGTTCTGATTGCCCCAGCTCAATGTTCAGTGTGATATCGCACGTGCGACCACTATATGTAAATTACCCTTCTCTGATTCTTTCGGACAAACCCTAACCAAAATGGTGTGGAAGAGAAGAAAGCTCGCGCCCGATGTTATCGAGGTGAAGTTGGTGAAGGGGCAGCCCCCTATCGAACCCTCCTACAACGAGGACGAAATTAGTCAAGAAGAAGAAGAGGAGGACGATGATGATGATGAAGATGAAGTAGAAGATGATGAAGATGAAGATGAAGATGAAGATGAAGACGAAGATGAAGAAGAATCAGAAGAAGATGAGGAGGAACAAAATAATGAAGTCAAGGACGAAGAGGAGGAGGACTTCTCGAGCAAAGATTCCATACGTAAGCTACTCGAGCCTTTCGGCAAGAACCAATTGATCGAAATCTTTAAGGAGGCCGTCGTCAAGAATCCCTCTCTCCTCTCCCGCATAGCGAAAGAGGCCGAGGCCGATACCGTCCACAGAAAAATCTTCGTCCGTGGTCTTGGCTGGGATGCCACCTCCGAGAGTTTAGCCGCTGCATTCTCCCCCTTTGGCCAGGTTGAGAATTGCAGGGTCATCATGAGCCAATCCACGGGACGATCTAAAGGCTATGGTTTCGTTGTCTTTCGCACCCGCGCTGCGGCCCAGCGGGCCCTGAAGGAACCCCTGAAGAATATCGGTGGCCGCCTTACCAAATGCCATCTCGCTTACTTGGGCCCCACTGCCGTCGCCGGGCAAGCCTCTTCGGATACCTCCGGTAGGAAGTTATATGTAGGCCATGTGGGAAGCAATGTTAACCCTGAACGCCTTCTTGCATTCTTTTCTAAATTTGGAGAGATTGAGCTTGGACCGCTTGGGTCTGATCCGGCAACGGGGAAGTTCCGTGGCTATGCACTTTTTATCTACAAGACGGTGGAAGGGTTAAATAAAGCTTTGGAGGAGCCAAAGAAGTACTTTGAGGGGTTTGAGCTGGAATGCCGAAAGGCATATGAAGGGCTTAATAAGAATAATAATACTCAGATTGCACCAGTAGTTACAACTGAAACTGTGCCTACTGGGATGAAGGCAAATGATTTTGCTCAGAGTTATGGTTCTGCGGCTGCTTTGATGGGGCAGAATTTAGCCCCAGGTCCAACAACAGTTATTCCACCGAATGTTGGGGTTGGGCTGCTTAATCCTGTAGCAGGCTTGTATCCTGCATTGAGTGGGGGAGTTGGTGTTTCTCATCAGCCTTACACAGTTGGAGGTGCTGGCATTCCTCCACAGTCTTATGCTGTTGGACCAGTTGGATCAGCTAGTAGGGGATCTGGGATTAGTGTAAACAGTATAAGCCCGAGCGTAATCGGGAATTATGGATCCCTAGCAGCGGTCCATGGTTTGGGAGCTTACCAGAATTCAGCACCTTCTGCACCTACGAGGCCTCAGACAGGAATTGGTTCTTGGGGAGCAAGTAGGTTGGCACCTTTCTACGGGCAGTAAGGTATGTGAATTTCATCATCATTTATGTAATCTTTTTTTTCTAAATGGATTCTTGAGGAAATTTATCATTTATAATTCTGGCTATTTGATGGCTTTTACTAAAGGACTAGTACTTGTGAAATTGATGTTGTCATTGTGCAATAAAATATGGGTTTAAATTAACAAGACTTCCTAGGGAGCATCCTATTAACTCTTTTACTGAGGTTTGATGCATCTTTAATGCTTTAGTGAACTTAAGGCTATTTGCGTTTATTCCAGTTGCTGTGATTTGGATCCCCTATTTCTATTTAAAACATGAAATTTTGTTAGGTGTTATTTTCTGTAATATTCCATTCTTCTTTATGTGATGATATGTTTTTATTATTTTTATAGCCTTTGGAACTCTGTTTTCTTGTTTTAAAAGGATAATTGCTATTATGATGAATGCCTTAATTTATCATTTCAATTTCTCACACAATGTACTTGCACTTTATTTTTCTTTAATTTGTTTTCAATTTTAATGCCTTCCTGATTTTGTTTAGTTGGGTGGACATAGTAACATATAATGGTAGTCTTAATTCATTCTGAGTTTGAATTATTTTGGAGGATCTATGTAGCTAGCTTTGACTCTTAACTTTAATCCGTGTAACTATTTGGTTCTGTTATTTTTATTTGTGAAAATTGAATATTTTTTATTTAGTATTTTGCTTCCATTAGGAAAAGGAAACAAAAGGGAAGACCTAATGAGATTGTTCAAGTTATTAATAGCAATAACAGTGAGGAATGCACTATGGAAACAGCTGATATCAGTAATATTATAAAATAATGCATGGCTATAAAGTTTTTAACATTGGAATGATAATGTTCCTATATAGATGTATTTTGCTAGGATTTGTATAGAGATACATTTGAAAAGTACACTCTCGGCAATGTGTTTTTCTTAGTTGATGCATTCATGATTTTTTCAACCTTGCTTAATTTGATTGATGGGCTTTCTCCTTTATGTTAAGTTGATTTGTGTCTATCTTCTAGAATGGACATCAAATTTTGACATACCATAGGTTCATAATAAAAAAGCATCTGTGAGAACATTGTCGTTGCCAAGTCTCAAGCCCTGGATGAGAAAAGTGGAGGGTTACATTAAGTAGTTGATAGTAAGTGTAAAATTTGTCACACAATCATGACATTGATGTTGTTGTATTTTTAAGTGGCAACATCCTAACTTATAAGTGGAGTAATTTGGTTGGGAAGAAGACATCTTTATTTTCATTATTCTAGCAATGAGAATCTACGAATAGAATCTTGCTGCTTGCTTGTTGCTCATCAATATACATGAGCTAGCAAAGAAGATATATAACATATTTAGCTAAGGATATTCAATTGTGGACTGATCTTTTATTTTTAGATTCAAGAGTTCCCCTGATTTTCTTATATTGTTCTCTTGCCTTTGGCGCCTTATATTTCAAGGCCTTACATTATAGTGTAGATATTAACTTATAATATGAGCTTGGTGAACTTGAAATATGAGTATGATGTTATTTTTTTTGCTAGATGTTATTTTTTAATCATGGATTTTTGCATAACAGCATTAAGTTATATTTTCATGTTAGAACTCTTGAACTTTCTGTTTTCATCATCCATCATCCATCATCAGCTTGGCTCTACTGTTTCAGTTCTACTTTGTGATTCCTCATTTTCCATACCATTTTGAACAACTTCTAACCTTGTAACCTTTGGTTTGTCTCTTCTCATTCCTAGCTTCTTGATACTAATTTTATAATGAGCACAATTTTTACCATTTCTTGTATCTCTAAACCATCAAGTCTCTTTTTAATTTATTAATCTTTAATATATGTCAGTCTAATCATCCCTTAATTTATATTTTTCTTTTCTGCTATAAGTCCATCTTAACATTCTCATTTCTACCATACTTAATTTAGTTATCAATGATTTTTTTAGTTGCGAAACATTTAAATCCATATAATATTGTCGACTTAATTGTTGTTGTATAACATTTACATTTAAGTTTCATTAATATTCTCTTATCATAAAAAAAATTCTATATTACTTCTCCATCTTAACAATATAATTTTTAACTCTAGAAGTTTTCGTTATCTGGATTTAAATAATTTTATATAATGGACCCAAGATACCCTATTAAATCTGGATAGCACTTTTTTAAAAATATTGATTAATATTTGTTTCATATTATTTTTTTTTTCTACTAATTTTAAGTATTGTATCTTTTATATATTTTCTCCATTCTATTTTAATACTTATTTAATTGCATGTCATTTGTGAAAGCATACACCAAGACACATTACTTTGAATATTCTTTGTAAGCATCACTATTATAAATATAAAAGATATGGAGTTAATGCTATTCTTGATATAAATCTAGCACAATTTCAAAATTCTTAGGTCACTCCACAACTATATTAGTCAGCGCTCCATCAGGTATATATTTGATAACATCAATGCACAACACACACCTTTCTACTTCAGTGCACACAAAATCATTTCTTATTATACTTGATTATATGCTTTCTTATGATCAATAAAAATCATATAAAGATTTATTTTTTGCTAAAAATATTTTTTCATTATTTGTCTTAACCCAAAAATCAGTTCTATAATGCATCTTTTTGAAATGAAGTCAAATTGGTTTTCCAAAATTGTCGATTTTTACAAGCTTATGTTCTATAGCACTTCTTAAAAGTTTGATTCGTCTATGGTTAGCATAATTTTGAAAATGTCCTTTGTTTTTAAATATTGGTATCAAAATGTTTGTTCTCTAATCATATGGCATTCTCTCAGTTTTCAAAATTATATTAAAATTAATGTATTAATCATATCATTGCAATATTTCGTATAATTGTTCAAATATCAATGTGAATCTCATGTAAACCTTAAGCTTTTTCTTGATGTATCCTATTTAGAGCTAACTTCATTTCGTTTATTTTTATGGATCAATCTATGATATATTTATTATATTATAAATAAATAGGGGGGGGATTGTGACTTTGGTCATTCAAGTCATTAAAAAGAGTACACATTTTATGAATCTCTGGTCTATTATTCAAATCGGTGGGGATATTATTAATAGAATTCAAGTTTGACATTTGAAGTGGAGGAATGCAGCAAGTCTTTTGTGTGATAGATAAGTATTTCTCAAACTTAAAAGAAAAAAAATTCTATAAGATGGTGGTGAAACCTACAATGCTTTATGGCGTAGAATATTGACTATTAAAAAAGAAGCATAAACTTAAGTGTTACAGAGATAAAAAAAATTGTTACAAAGAAGAGGATGTTAAGGTGGATGAGTGGCTTTGCACTTAGAGAAAGAATGCGAAATGAGCATATAAGTGAAAAGGGCAGTTCTAGTGGAAGATAAGATTAGAGAGAGGCGCCTTTGATGGTTGGGTCATGTAAAACGTTGGCCTTTCGATGACCCGGTTAGGAGAGTAGATGTATTAGATATGTCTTATGTTACAGGTAGAGGTAGACCTAAAAAGACTTGGTTAGAACGTATTAGAAATTATTTTTTTATATTAGATTTAAATGAGAATTTTACTCTTACTGAGATGCAATAGAGAATAATGATTCACGTAGCTGACCCCACATAGTGGGATAAAGTTTGATGTTGTTGTTGTTGTATATTGTTCATTATGGTCTTTTAAAATAATTGTTTCTTTTAAGCTTTTATTTAGTAATTTCTCAAAGTGTATTTTTCATATTTTTATTAGTGTACAATCTATTTTTAAACTCTTCTAGCACTTGTACAACAATTATCTTAATTGAACTAAGAATCTTGGTCCACCTTTTGTTTGGTGCAACTAAACAGTTATAATTCACATGTTCTAATAATTTGTGTTGAAATATTAACAATTACTCACATTTTAAATTTTATCATCTTTGCTGAAGATTTTTTTTACTGTTTACTGTATATTCTAAATTCTATCACTCTACATTTATTGCAAGAAGAATTTTCTTTTCTTCTTAATATGAGAAATTTATTTGTGATGTGATGGCTTTATTTAACTAAGTATTTGCCTTATTTCTTTAATATTGCTTGCTATTACAAGATTATAGATTAATATAAAAATAAAATTAGTTTTTCCCACTCGTTTTTATCTCCCATCCTACTAATACCTATATATCCTGTTAAATCATCTCAATTAAATAACCATTGTTTACCATAGTATTCCATCCATCTCTTCTTAAAATTGATTTTATTAAACTATCTTCTAGTTTAACATGTGGTGCATATATAAGTATTAATCACGTTTATAATACTCTCGCAAATAATTACTTCAGTAGTATTCTCCCTATCACTAACCTTATTACTCAACAATTTTTTTTTGAACTCTTTATGCACTATTATTCTAACCTTATTTCTATTGTATAACTTTTTAATATCTAATAACTTACAAATTTTCTCTGTCTTAAGTTTCTTTTTTTTTGCAAATAAATAATATACTTTTTATAATATTGTGTTTTGTGATTCTCTTGAAAGTGCTCTGATATTAATTGAAAGTGTACGACACACTCGAAAGGGGGGTGATTGGCATGCCTTTAAAAAATTTCTAATTGTATTGAAGCATTTATAAATAAAAAAACACGAAATTGAAAATCATAGATTGTACATGACAATATATATTTTGCATTTTTTTTTGTTATATGCTTGGTTGTGACATCATTTTTGCTCTTATTTAAATCAAAGAAAATTATTTTAACTTTTTATAATTTATTATTTTAGTCTTATTTTGAAGATGAAGGAAACAAATGGTGTTCTTTTTTAAAAGGCTTCGGTATAATTAGAAATTTGAAAAAGGCACACCAATACCCCCTCCCTCTTGGGTGTTTTGTACGGTTTTAATTAGTATCAGAGCACTTTTACATCCCATATTTTTCATTTCAATAGATTTTCTACTCATGCATTTTCCCTATGATAGACCTTACTTTTTTTTCAAAGTCATACAATAATTTTCTTATAGATACGACACTCTAGTAGATTTGATT